GATACGTGTACCGACCACTCATTTGTAAGTTTTTTTTCCTGAAATTATGTGGGACAGTTTAGTACGGCCCGGTTCTTACAACAACTGCAAAGCCTATCCAGCAAAAACAAGAGTTTTCCAAACTTCTACGAAACCCGTGGGCACATTCAAATAAGCCCATTGCAGTTCGAATCTACCCGCCACTAGCACGCTTGTAAGCAGCCCTCTGCCGAGGAGCCATCGACAGCCTTGCCAGTGGATGGTTGCCGTTGGTGTTTGCTATTACTGTATCTGCTTCCCGAGTGCCTCCGCCTCTTAATGACAGCGAAACACAGAAGAAGGCCTTGATTTTTGGGCATGAACAAAGTATTTCACTTGATCAAAATATTTGCTGGCGAGAGCGATGGAGAACACAACCATCCTATCGCTCTTTCGACTGCCGAGAAGAGGGAGAAAAAAAGGTTTATCATCTTGTTTGTTAGGAAGAAGATCATGGAGGACTGGTCCTGGTTCCATGATCCTGGCTGGTATAATGAGAGTAAAAGTGGAGTTGGTCATTCCTATCTCCCTGTTGTCTGCTCAGTGGGCGATGGCTCTGATCTATCGGGCGAGCTGGAATAGGAGTCAAAGAAGTGACAAATCCTAACACTCTAAATGTTCTTTTTGCCTCCACAAAAGAGCTTTAGTTAAACTTCCCCTTGCAATAAATCCACTGATTTTGCTGTTGTTTGGAGGGGGTGGCCATCCCATATAATGCTAGTTTTGTGGGAGTAGAAATCTCGAAATTTCGAGGAAAAATAGCAAAATCGAAATCATTAGAAGGAAACTTCGAGTCGTCTATGCTATGGTAAATGTGAGGCGGGCTCTTTTATTGTCCGAAGTAAGGCCAAACACTGTTCAGGCTCCCCACTCACCTTGCTCGCTGGTTTTCTTACTTTAAACGCTGCTGTTTCATCACTTTGCTCTTCGAATTTTCGAAAGAAGCATATTTGTTAATTTTTAAAGAAGGGTATTTGAAGCATTTTCAGGGCGGTAATACAACTGAGAAGGGAATCTCAGAAGAAAACGAAATGTCAGCCCAGTTGAAACTGGTCATTCGACGAGCTGCTTCTAACGCAGGTGATGCTGTCACTGCTGCTAGTGCTGCTGCGACAGGCGCCCAAGGTTTCGGTTTTCCTACGGAATAGCTTTAACTTTTTAAAGAGTTCTACACAAAAAACGCAGTTAAAGATTTTCAGAAATGCTTCGCCAAAATTTAATGCAACCTTAATAGCAATTTTATATAAAAACTCTTTTTTCATTTCTCGCCCTGTGCAATTTTTAAATACTGCTGGAAACAGTCACGCGTGATAGCTTGTTGCCAGTAATACACACAAATGCAAACTGATGGCATTTTCAATTTTTCGACGTATAATAGTACCAGTTTACCATCGAAACGATCCTGAAAGTCATAGAGGAACTGATTTTTTTTCTCCTCCAGCAAAATCAAATATTCGGTTTTTCAGACGAAAGTAACGCTACTTATCACGTAAAGCTACATTAGGTCCGTCAGCAAAATATTAAATTTTCTGTTGAAACTATTGTTTCTCTGAAAAATCATTGGGATCTAAAAGCTTGATGTTTTGTGTGAAATTTGAATGAAAAATAAGAAAAATTCAATAATTCACTGAAACATTTGCGCTGTTTCCTTGTCCGGTTGCTGTATCTTCCCATTTCTAACACCATTTCAGTACTTTTGCATTATTAGTTAACTTGTTAGATTTGAGTTCAATCACCAAGATATTCATTACTTCGACACTTTGATCAGCTGATGTTTTTTGTTGGCATGCATGGCGCTGGGAAATAACACCATTGCCATGCAAGGGGTCGAAGGCTTCATTCCGGCGGTGGGACAGCCAAGCAATGTAGACAATCCCTGATGGAGTATCCACCGAGGTGCCTGCTGTTGGG